ATATATATATATGCCTATTGAGTTAAATTTGTATCCCCAAATACCCTTCAATGTAGGTGCATGCACTGAGGCCTGATTAACCTATCCAGCATCACACAGTTAAAGAAAACAGACTCTCCCTCTCCCAGCAGCTACCAGTTGTCAATAGTTCCTTAGCTAGAGCTGGGGCTTCTTCCCCACTTCTATACTGGAGTTCTTTCTGGCTTGATTTTATGTGGGTCTTGTGCATGCTGTCAACATTCCTGTAAGTTCATGAGTAACTCACCTGCTGTCTGAAAAACTGTTTTGTTGTGGTCATCCATTACCTCTGGTTCTTATAATCATTCCGCCCCTTTTTCCACAATGATCCCTGAGCCTTGAGAGGCAGAGGTTTGATATAGGTGTTCTATTCAGAGATAAGCACTCTGTAGTCTCTTATTCTCTGCATAGTCATGACCAGTTGTGGTTCTCTGTGTTAATCACCATCTGCTACATAAGGAAATTTCTCTGGTAGAGTTGAGAAATGCATTAGTCTACAGGTATAACAATAAGTCATTAGGAGTTAGTTTAATACTATATCTATTTAGTAGAATAATAGTAGTAGAGTCTCCCCTATGACCTGCGACCTGCCTAGCCACAGGTTTTTAGGCCTGATATCAGTATCAGGTATGGACTCCATCCGGTGCAGAGGTCCTTAAATCCAATCATAAAGTAGTTGGTTAATCCCATAATATTCATGCCACCAGTGGGCATATCATGCCAGTCCAGTTGTTGTAACTTGCAGGATTCACAGCTGGATAAGGTTAATGATTACTTTTCTTCCAGTAGTATGCATAGCACCTTCCAGCACTATGAAAAATAGCCAGTAGAGATGAAACTTTGAAGTCAGTACCAGCTTGATTTCTCCTTACTTGTTCTACAACTCATGTGTATAGTGTCTTCACCAATAGGATCTTACTGTCAAGTAACTAAAAGCAGGGGCAATGGCCAGTATTATTTGAGGGTCTATGGGACACCTGGTCAACAGATTCAAAAGAGGTAGTTCATTCCTGGCACTAGGCTTTTTATTTGCTAGCCAATGGTATCTAGTAGGGGTAATATCCCCTTGTTATAAGGTAACTCTTTTTAATCTCTTTTTATATTGTATATGTATATACTTTAAGAAGTTTCTACAGTGACAGGTCTTCATATGATTTTTTCTAAAGGCCTTCAGTATTAGTTATCCCTCTCCAGACTCCTTCCTCTGCCCTGTCCTCCCATTCCCCACCCCATTTAACTCTTCCTACTTCATTATTCTCCCTTTCCCCACTTTAGATGACTACATTCTGTCTCCCTCTCATGAAATTTCCCCCAAATGGCCATTTACTAGTTTTCTGACCTTTATGGATTTTTCAAATTGAAACATGCATATCTAAGGATCCAAAGTTAGCAATCCACTTACAAAAGTAAACATAACACCATTTATCTTTCTGAGACTGGGTCGCTTCACTCAGGACGATTATATCCAGTTCCATCTATTTACCTCTGAATTTCATAATGTTGTTTTTCTTAACAGCCATTGTGTAAAATGCACCATACTTTAATTATCCTCTCAGCAGTTGATGGGCATCTAGGTTGTTTCCATTTCCTGGCTATTGATCAGCAATGAACATGGATTAACAGGAATTGCTATAGTGGAATATAGTATCTTTTTGGCATATGCCTTTATTAGTTAGTTCTGTTGCTGTGATAAAACACCATGACCCAGGATACTTATAGAAGGAAGAGCGTACTGGACTTATGGTTCCAGAGGGATAAAAGTCTGTCATGGCAGGAAGGCATGGCAGCCAGAGCAGAAAGCTAAGTGCTCACATCTTCAAAAAGGCACAGGAAGCAGAGTGAAACAGACCAGAAGTGGAACATGGCTTTGAACTCACAAAGCTCCGCTCCCAATGATGGTTTCTCCAGCATGGCCATACCTCCTAAAGGTTCTGTGACCCTCGGCCAAACAGTGCCATGAACTGGGGATCGAGTGTGTCCAGATACTTGGAGTCTATGGGATGCACTTATTCAAACCACCACAATGCCCAAGAATGGTATGGCTGCATTATGTGGTAGGTCTATTTCTTGCTTTTTGAGAAATCTCCACACTGATTTCTATAGTGGCTGCAGCAGTTTGAACTCCTACCAGCAGTGAATAAGAGTTCCCTTCTCCACATCCTTGCCAGCATTTGTCCCACAGTTTTGATAACATTTCCTATATAAAAGTAGTTTTCCTCTACTACTTTTACTCAAGCAGTTGTCATGCCTCTGCCTCATAGATACTTGGCTACGACAGGTGGAATGATGTTAAGTTATTTGTGTTATGGTCAGGAGCTTTTGTAGCATATGTAGAGTTGATCCAGTCATGAGTGACTGTGGAAGTGGAGCACCACACCATGGGCTTCTCACTCTGCACCAGTCAGCCCAGACTGTGCTGTTCCTGCATTGTTGGGGGATAGGAAAGTGTAGAACTGGTTTTCTGCACTTCAACCCTGTTTATCTGGGGATTTTTTTTTCAATCCATAGTTAGGTGTTAATTGTTCTCCAAATGTAAGAGCAGATGGCTGTTTTTCTAGTCCTAGTCACTCCACAGTGAGGCAGATGGAGAGATCACTTGGCAGAGGGTTTCTTCACTAGTACAGAGCTAAGGTTAGAACCCAGAAGGCAGCTGGGCTTCCCAGTTCCCTGAAGATATGTGAACAGGGAAGGAAGATGGCAGTATCTTCCCTGTGTCCTGCCTTTTTGCTTTTCTCTAGAAAATATTTTTTTCCATCAGTGCATCATTGTAGCAAATCTGAGAGTTATAGTGAGGTGGATGTCCTCCATACCCGTTAAGGGAGGGAGATGAGCTGACAGATCATGTCTTACATGAAGTGATACCAGCCATTAGTGGGGAGCTGAGTCCAGACTGCACTCTTTCTCCTCTAGCCATATTCATCTCCCTGCTGTCTAGGAGCAGGGAGAGGTGGGGATGGTTTTTCTGAACTCTTCAGGAAAGAAGGGACTGTTGAGGCTGCACTCAGAAATTACTTGCATTAAGCTACATGTATTGGCATATATCTTTAATATTTGGGATGCTAAGGCAGGAGAATCTTGAGTTCAAGACCAGTCTGGGCACCCTGTCTCAAAAAGAAAAAATTACTTGCCTGATGTCTTCCAAGAGGATCAGCTCCAAGTATAGTATGTGGGGCTCTAGTATGATGCCTCAAGGTAAGGGTTTATACTCACTCAGCAGGCCAATGTCTGGCCATCAGACAGGACTGTACCCAGAACTGAAGCACCCAGTTGCCACAAAGCATGATATGGGAGGGTACAAGATCTGGGAAAGATGTGAACAGCTGGGAAGAATAACACTTTTAAGAAAGAAAAGAGTTTTCTGGAAGAGTTCATTTGTTTTCTACTAAAAAAAGCAGTGGAGGTCCTAGAGGGAGCAGGAATCCTAGCTAGACCTGTTACTCATGTGGGACAAGAGGTCACAGATGCATGTGAGATTGCTGGGTCCCCACCACCACATGCCATGGGCTAAGTTTAGCCCTGTGGCATTGTCGGGCTGGTGGCCTGGAGAGCACAGCTGCAGTTGTTGGATGTGGAGTCCTGAGGCAGGAACCTCATAGTTTGCCAACACCTTTCAGAAACCTGGATCTGTCAAATTTGCATTCCTTACTCAAAGTCCAACTAATCTTAGAGGTGAGAGGAATAGAGCCTGTACTCTGAAAGCCTTCCCACAGTAATGAGCAGCCTTTATGAATGAGGTGCTTCTTATGAGACAAATCAAGGCTTCCTGATTCAGAACTGTGCTACATGCCACAGAGGACAGAAAAACTGCACAGGGCCTAGCATGGGAAAGCAGAGGCTACAGTGAGGCACTCAGTGTTTCCTTTAGTCTTCTAACACTTTTTTTACTACAGAGCTTTGAGTCTAGTAGACTCAAAGAAATTAAAGTCATCAACTAATTGTTCTGTTCAGGACTGTGTAAAGTTCAGCAATAAATCGTCCCTTATACACTTAGAATGTTATTGGTAGCCTGAGGCTATCTCCTTTAGGCCTGGAGTGATTAGGAAGAAAATCCAGGGAAGCTAGGTAGGGGTGCAGAGGAAATGGGGACTGGGGCAAGCAGTGGGGTGGGGGTGAAGAGGTAGAAACAAGAATAGATCTGGCAGGATGGTATGGGACCCAGGACCTGTGTATAATCAGTATGCCCGGAGGTGCTGTGACAGGTTATAATCATCAGTCTCTTGGAAAACAGGTGCTTAGTCTAGGCAAGCTCAGAACAGCATTTGCCAGAGTCACATGCCTGATGGACTCCCAGGTCTGATGCATGTGTGGCAAATGGCATAAGAGAATGATGTCCACAAGGCTGAGGGCAGGTCACACAGAGATGAGAGGAAAGTCAGACCATCTTACTTCCATAAGACTGGCTCTGAGGGTGGCAGTACCTAGGCCAGCTCTATCCTAAGAAGTTCTAGCATCCAGACAGGCCTTACAGCTGAGGAAAGAGCACCTGGGTTGTCAGAGAGGGTGATAGATGGTGTGTCAGGGGGCTTGCCCCGTGGGCTGATGCAAATCCTGGAGCTGGTGTAGCTCCCACCTCTCTTTAACCAGCAGGGTAAGCCAGCTGCCCACAGCCTGGCCAGGGTTCCTGCCAAAATCACTGTGCTCTCCAGGATGCATGGCTGTGAGCCTGATGGGGCCTCAGTCCTGTTCTTGTATCTGCAGTATGCAAGACCAAAGAAAGCATGTGCTCCTCATCTCTTCTGCCTGAGCGAGATGGAAATCTTAGCAAATGATAAATAGTGAAAGATTCCTCATCACCCTCACACCCCGAAGTCTTTCTCTAGTTTCCTTCAGCAATTTCACCATGTTTCTTATAGCCTGCCTTGCAATGGGCTACCACTGAGCCCTCTCCTCCCCTCCTCACCCAAGCTCACGTGCCCTTAGAAAGCCTGTGCAAAAGGAAAGTCAGGGCAATCTCCAGAGAACAGAGAGGGATGAGTCTTGGAAGGGGAGGCAGGACTCAGGTAGGCAAAGGAGGTGAGATTAAGAATGTGTTCAACATCTCAAGAACCAAGGCTGCTGAAATGGCCCATCTGCCTTCAGTTTGTGCTTTACCCTGACTTGTGCATGGCCAGCAGAGGTCAGTGGCAGCAGGGACCACATGTGCTGCAGGTGTGTGCTTTCCTTCTGTTCTGTCTCTTACTTGACATTGTGGCCACTCACGGTGTGTCTTGTTTGGCAGCTTCGACCCAAAGAGAGCCGTGCAGCAGCTCAGAGCCTGTGGGGTGTTGGAAACCATTCGGATCAGTGCGGCCGGCTACCCATCCAGGTAATGTCACCAGTCATGCGCTCCTCAGGCTGCCATAGAGCAGCAGAGTGTGATGCCCCAGCAAGCCATGGTATGTGCTCTCAGCCTAAGTCAGATCCCACACCCTGAGGGCCCGAACAGGATGCTGACGGAAATCAGAATTTCAGTCTGGCCTGAAAAGCACAGAGGTTAACAAAAACATTCATCCTTTTGGGCAGCACTTCAAATTAGCATTGTTCTAGGTGATGAACTAGCTAGAGTTACAAAATGAATTTCCTTACTCAACTTTATCGTTTGCCTTTTTCTCTCATAGTGATAGAATATGGTAACATGATATTTACTATCTTTACTATTTCAAGTATACAGTTCAATGGCATTAAGTGTATTTTAACTGTTGTACAACCAATCCCCACCATCCATCTCCAGAATTCCTTTGATCTTACAAAACTGAAGCTCTGTACCCTTTCAATAACTCCCTGTTTTAGACTGTTTTCCATTGCTATAACAAAATACCTAAACTAAACACTTCAAACAGGCTAGCTTCATTTTTTTTTTGCATTCAACAAAGAATTTTTATTTCAGTTATCCACAAAACAGTATTACAATGTTTTATAAAAATATTAAGTTTTATAAAATTATTAGTTTTATTCATTTAAAAAAGTGTTTGTGTTAGAAGGCTGTTTGGCCAACTTGGTTTTTTGGTAATGGTTAAAATTCCACATTAAGACAATAAAGATGAAAGCTGTTGGGGGGAAAAAAATCTTCAAATGTACAGTAAATGAGTCTGCAGCTGCTCGCATTGCCTGCTTCTCACCTGACTCCTGGTGTCTGTGTCGTGACTCCGCGCCAACTCTACCCCTGCCTGGAGGGCCCCAGGACACCCATAACAATTTTTCCCCCTTTTAGAATATAGTTGACTTGGGGAGGAAGACTTAATCTGAGTTTCAGTAATTTAAAGGGGGACTTTTTTTGATCCATTTAAAATACATAAGTAAAACATTCAAAATGAGAATGGTTTTTCTAAGATACTATGAAATATGAATTTGAATAGTAGCATTACCGGTTTAAGAGTCTAGCAAAGGAAAAATGGAATCTGCTAAATAAAGCAAAAGTCTAATATTTGTGTTCTTAAATGCTGTATATTATTGTCACACTTTCAGGCATTATATCAAGTTCCCATATTTTCAGCATGTTTAACTACCATCACTTTAATCATTAAATTTAAAAATCTGTGCCAAGCCCCAGTTGGCCTAATGACCTTCCCATAGTCCCTTCCCCCTGAATGAACTATTTTACTGCTTCCCAACACTGCCATTCTTGGGCCAAGCTTCTAGCACAAGAACCTTTGGGGAATAAACTACCTAACAAAGCATGCCTAGTCCCCTTCCCCAGCCCCTGCAGTCACCCTTCTACTTCCTGTCCATGGATTTGACAGCTCTGGGTGCTTTATCCAAGTGGAATGATAGGGTATCTGTCCTCTTCGTGACTTGTTTATTTCACTCAGCGTTATGTCTTTAAAGTTCATCCATGCTGTAGCATGTGACAGAATTTCCTTCTTTTTAAGACTGAATGTGACCTCTTACATGTATACATCACCTTTTGCCTATCTGCCCATCCAGTGTTGGGTTTCTTTAACTTTTAGTATGAAATAAATCTATTATGGAAAATACAGTTCCTTTGAGTAAAAAATAACTTTTGTGGGCACTAGGAAGATACTGCCCAAGTATGAGGACCCAAGTTCAGATCCTCAGTACCAGAAGTGCTAACTATAACCCCATTTCTAGGAGGAGGGGACAGAGACAGGCAGAGCTCTGGAGCTCAATGGTCAGCCACTTAGCCAAGTGGTAAGCTCCAACCTCAGAGACCCTGTCTCTAAATAATAAGTAAATAAATAAGGTAGAGAGCAATCAAGGAAAAACCCACCATTGACCCCTGTCCTCCATATGCACATGCACACACCCACATGAACATGTACACAAACCACACACACAAAATAAGTAATTCTCATGGTTTGACCTGTGCTTGGGAAAGACACAGAACTGCTCCAGAGCTTGAAGAAGCCACCCCAAGACTGTGGATCCCCTCTGGGCACTTGCTTGAAATAGGGGTGGAGGGTGGGTGGTTACTCCACTAGCTCTCCTGAACACTGTATGCTAGTGCCACAGAAGCCAAACACCTGCTGTTAACTGGGACTGAGCTGAGTAGCATGGCAGATAGTTCTAGGGACTGCCCATAAGGAGGACCCTTTGTCCTAAGATGTCCCTGTGTGTCTGGAGGTAGAAGGAACCAGAGTGGAATCGAGGGGAGGGGAGGTAGCATAGGCTTCCCTCCTCTCTGCACCTGGTGCTTTCCCCTGCAGTGAAGGGATCATTTCAAACTCTGTGGTTAATTGTCCATAAAGGGCTTAGCCATAAATAATTCCCAAATGTTATACCTAAGAGGGAAGTTGCTGATAGAATTAGGAATTTGCACTTGACCTGAAAGTATAAGAACTGTCATTCATCTGTATGTCCAGGCAGCTGTTCAAAACCCAGCAGGTTTGCACATTGTTCAGGGTAATTGTTAGAGTCATGTTGAAGGTTTTTCAACCATATCTCTCCTTGATAAGCAAAAAGGGAGGCAGTGCCCTGGGACCTCCTCACGTCCTTGGATCTGAGAATCTGAATGCAAGTAGTCGCAGACCCCACCTGCTTTTCTACAGTGTGGCCTGAAGTATCTGTCATTGTCTTTTGATTGATGTGGTAGGACTTAGGCCAGAATTCAACCCACTGTCAACCCACTGTATTCTCATTACTTCTGCTGCCTTTCAGTCCCTGTCACAGGCATTAAGTTCAGAACCGACACAACTTTGTTCAGCTGAAGAACTGGAAGAGGACCTCCGGGTTCTCCCAAGCTATATTTCATGGGCAGTTGTCTCCTTTCCTGTGCCTAGCTCTTGTGTCTGTTTGGTTCCCAAGACACATGTCACCTAGTAAAAAGGCATCTTTAGTCCTGCAGTTACTAGTCTGCTGGTTTTCAGAGTTGTGGCAACCCATTAGTGGCCTGCAGATTAATTGAAATTAATTAAATACCTTGCATTGGTGTTGTGATAGGACAGTGTGGTAGAAAGGATGGTATGGAATGACCAAGTTTCTGTGTTATGGATAAGAAAGATGCATTGTCATCTAACATGCTTTCAAAATGAGCCTGGGAGAAGGAAGTGGACTGCTGAGTAACCAGCCAGCAATTGTTGAGTTGGTTCTATAATCAGCACCTCTGCTTGTGCTGTAACTTCTCAGTAGTACTGCTTATGTCAGTGTCACCCTTCAAAGAAAGGTTTATCAGAGGAGAAAGGGGCTGCGTTTCTGGGAAACTCCTCATTCCCCCTGTGCTAGTCCAGATCCTCATATCTTCAGCTTGTGAGAAGAGTGCAGAACTGCAGCCCAAGTGAGAGCCCAAAAACCTGGTGGTTAAGCTTTGGAGTCAGGATGGGGCTCAGCTGTTGGCTCCCACCCTCACTCTCCTAGGCTGAGTGGCCTTGAACAAGTTAATAAATCTCTCTGAGCCTGGACTCCCTTATTTTTAAGTAGCATGTTCATACATATTCCGTATTTGTTGTGAGGAATGAGATGATGGATCTTAATCACAATTCCATACATTGCAGTATGTAATAGAATACTTATTACTCATCTAGCTTTGGGCACATAGTAGCACATAGTGGACATAAATGTCAAGGAGAACTTGAGTATGTCAGAAATTCCTAGCTTTCTTGTCATAAAATCCCCATGTGTCTATGGTTACCTCAAGACAGCATTTCGAAATTTTCCAAACTTTCTAAGACTCCAAGAAACTGAAAAGATCAGTTGCAAGTTATATAACGGGATTGGATGGTGTTGCTCGGTGTTGCTTAGCTATGTATGAGACCCTGGGTTCAAACACAGCACCAAAAATGTACACACACACACACACACACAAGCTAGATCTAAGGTATCCCACATGAAACTGTTTGGAGTCGTATAAGAAACTTAGGGACAAAGGTTCTCACATGCCTATGCTGTGCAGTGGCCTGGAGGCCACTAATGACCCATTGGTTATTAGTCTGGTGACTTGTGAGGTGTGTACAGTGGGATTATACTGAACTAGGGAAAGCATATGATAGTGAGATAGTCTAAAGCAGATGGGGTCTGGGGGACCCATCTCAATATAAAAGGAACAGCCTATTTCTCTGAGACCTTTCTAACTGAATTGTTTCATGGTTAGACAAAGTGACTTACGGAAGGTGTCACTCCAAGGGTGTGTCCTTGGGCATCAAGGAAAGGCTCAATGTACCTGACATGTTTAACTACAGATTCAACACAGTCAGGGGTCTGTACACACCTGCCACCTCTGATTCACTGGCTGAGTTTCCACACAGCCTCCTCATGTGAAATCAGAGTGACAGAGTGCTGCCGCACTCATACAGGGTTTGCTGTCGCAGCACAGTATGGTCTGTTTTAGAGATGGAGGAGGGGAGATTCATTTCTGGGGTCTCACATGAGCCTTATGTAAAATGAGAACAGCCTTTTGCCTTCATGGGATCCTTCTTGCCCACCAGTGTTTCTCCATGCTGCCAGGAACTAAGGCTGGAAGACACAAGCTTGAACCACTTTAGGAACAACACGTATCCCCATGCAAGGTTTTAGTGCAAGTGTGGGAGAAACTGCAGCCTCTCGGAGGAGTTGAGACTTGACTGGGCCTTGAAGAACAAAGAGAGACTGGGAGGTTGCTGCCATCGGGAATCATTATACTCTCCACTGATGGCAGCTTAGAGACTTCTCTGCCAGTTCACTGCCCTTTGCAACTGCTAGTCTGACAGTCATAAGAAACTGGGACTCCAGATGTCCTTTACGTTTCATCCAGGGAGCAAAGACCCACGAACACAAAGTCTTTAGCCCATATGGAAAAGGGCTTTTCCTACTGTTCAGTCCACCTGGCTGCATTAGAGCTGCCAGCAGGGTTGATGTGCCACAACATGCCCGCCTCTTACTGGGCACCTAATGGAT